TGATAGCTATGCAAGTGTATTCTCCACCATCAGATACCTTGGCCCGAATAATCTGTAGAGTTCGACCCCCTGTGGGCAGATACGATGTAAATTGAAGAACAGAGGTTGTTCTAATAATTATCAATAAGATAAATGGTAAAATACATCATTTTCCTTAATAAAATTATTTTGAATCATTTCATTTATTAAAATGAAATAATTGAATCAGTTTTCCTTGATCCTTTCTTTTTTATCAATTTTAGTTTCATATAAAGTAAGAGACTCAAAATTTTTCTCTTTAGTAAACAGACGTGGAAAGGAAAACTATTTGATAGGTTCTAGTGAGAAAATACTAATTGTACTATAGCTAAAATACTTAAAATGGTCGAGGATTTAAATTGTCCACAGTGCAGAAATAACTGCAATAAATAGATTATCTGTCCATCTATCTTTCTGTTTCTTTGCCTCTAATCTGACTGTATTATTTTCTACTATCTATCTATGTATTTATCTACCTACCTATCTATTCATCCTCAAGAAGTGTTGGGATTGATTAAAAACAACCAGTGGTTAATAAAATGAAAGTGCTATTTACCATCTATACTCAGAATTACTAAGCTGTTCTGTTCTTAAATTCCATAATTTGTTAGAGGAGACCTTGTTTTTCTACATTTTCACTGAGTTCATGAAACTCTTTATAATCTTACCCTAATGGTCTCTCATGGGTAAGAGAGGCATTTTCTGTGAACAAATAAATGGAGCAAGATAGAAGTTTAGAAAGAGACCAAGTCAAAATGCCATTTGTATTAAAATAGAGGAAAATGAGAAAGTTTTGCCCACCTTAAAAAGAATAAAAAAATCCTTACCAGGTACAATGAGAGCATTTGTGTTTGGCTTGATAGGCTGTTCATTTTTGAGCCAACTGAGATCAGGAGGTGGAAAGCCAGAGACCTCACAGGTCAGAGCAATGAAATTGTTCACCACCACGGTGAGATTTTCAGGGTTGGGGCCAATGACACTCGGAGGAACTGTAAAAGCATATATATTAAAATGAAACCTGATGTCAGAAATGCATATTCCAATTTATTCCATGTTAGCCCAACCACTGTGCTCTGTGAAGGCACTGAGTTAATGCTCCTGTAGGTTATCCAGCTGACTTTACTAGAATTTCTCAGTGCCTTCATCAAGCTTAGGTATATCAGGTTTATTTTTTCCAACTGAAAGAAAGAACCAGAATTTTCTAATCAAGAATATTTTATATTTATTTGTAAAACATAGATGGCAATTCCTAAGATGGTTTTGTCAAAGTACAAATAAAGACCTTATGGTATTTTTTTTTAAAGTTCATTTGAGTAATCTTTTTAAAAATATTATAGCCTACTTAATGCTTTTCTCTTCTTGTGATAGCAACAATAGAGTATAAATTTAATTTTAGGGTATCTATCAATAAATCATATAATATTTTTATAGTGAAAAATCAACGTAACTTTTAAGATAAGCAAAAATTCTAAAAATAATAATGTTTATTGTTCAAACCCCCAAATTTAAAAAAGCAGTTCAGATAAAAGGTGGAATAAAACAGAATAATATGTAAATATGGAATAATTGATGCTTTATAACAGATGGAAAACACAGAATCATACATTTGAATGGTTTCCTGTGAAGAGGAGCAAAAAGGGGGTGTAAAAATGAATGAATGAATAGGTTAGCAAATAAAAATAAAAATGGATCTTAGATCAATGAAACATAAGACATGAATTAAAGTATGAAAGTAATAAAACATTTGATTACATGCACAGTTATATTAAGACTGAGGTCTTTAAATAACATCAAAAACATCAAAGAGAAAAATCACTTCTTAAAATGTTATGCAAGTTTTTATTTTTTACCCAGTAATTAATTATGATTTTAATTCATTAATGTATCAAATATTTATTGAATGTTTGCTGTATTCACGCTTAGTGTTAGACAGTACAATGTGGAACAGGTAGTAATTTGGTGATAATGGGGTTAATAATTTGATGGTAATGACACTAAACTAAAAGTAACATAACATTTTTTGAGTAGCTGTGTTGCATTGAACACTGTTTTAAACACTTAAAACACTTCATCCCATTGAATCCTCACACACCTTGTATGTTAGATATAGTTCTTATCCTCATATTATGAATGAAAAAGTTGAGTCAGAGGTTGGCATCTTGTTAAAGATTTACAGCTAGTTACTGGAAGAGACAGGTTTGGAAGGTAAGCAGTATGGCTCTACAGCTCTCATTCTTAGCCACTGTTTTATGCTGCCTGGTAATCATAAATATGATGAGTGTCAATCAGAAGATCAGGGCAATAACAGGGAAGTAACCTAGTTTGGCAATCAGGAGGAGAAAGGGACATTTATGAAGATACTTAAAATATCATCAGGAGTAAGTAAAAGAAAATGAGCATGTTTTCCAGAATGAAGGCAGAGTACATACAATGATCCAAATGGGGGAAAGACCAAGGCACCCAGAAGTCTAGTAAGAACAGAGTTTGAAGAGCAAGGTAGGGATGGGAATGCACAACATTAAAGGCCTAAGCAAAGATCAGATCTTCCAGGGTTTTCTGCACATCATCAAGAATGCTGAAACATAGCCCAAGGAATGGGAAGCAGAAAAATGGTATAGACAAAAAAATAATTTAAAGTTATCAATCTTAAAATGAACCCAGCTGTTATGTATAACCATAATGCACTAATAAAAGCATTAAAAAATAAAAACATAAAAAAACCCCACCACATCAATCTTGCAACAGTTGAGATAACTGATTAGAAGGCTGCAGGTACCCAGAAATGCCAGTTAGGATACTACCATTATAACATCTACAAAACATTATGTCAGCGAGTTGAGGATAGTGTTAGAAATATTTATGAAAGTGAGCACACCCCAGAACACTTTGCAGTAGATTATCAGAACTCATTGTGGCAAGGCTTAAAAGGAGTGAAAGTTGGCAGGGATGACATCAAATTATTGTCGTTTCAACTAGGGACAGATGTGGTACCTTTTCTGAGACATGGCTCTCTGGAAGAAGAAAACATTTTTGTGGAAGTTTATGAGTTTCATTTTAGGGTCACTTTTAGACATTTATGTCAATAAGAAGTAGATATTTGAACAGAAAGGCTTTAGAGTTTTTGAGAGGGCTCTGGCCAAAGATAAAATCTGAAAACTATTTTTTCATATAGAAACTGAAGCCTGGGAGTGCTCGAAACCTCCTAGGAAAAGGGCAGGCACAGAACAGTGCCCAGGAGTTGGAGAACTAAAGTGCAATGATTGGGTAGAGGGGGAGGAACTGGCCAAGGCCACTGGGAACAAGAGGTTGGAAAGGAAGATATAAACAAGGGTGTGGATGTCTCAGAAGCCCAAGGAGGAGAATTTATGAGAAAGACAATGGCCAAAAATGTCAGAAGGTCAGAAGGGAGAAAGATGCAGCCAGGAGAGGGACTGTTGGACTTTTTAATACAAAGCCAGTGATCAGGTTCAGTGAAGTCCTGAAGGTGAAACATGGAAGGCCGGGTGGGAAGCAGCAGCAGGGGTGAGGAAATGGAGCCATTCCATATACACAGCCATTAAGGAAGCCTGAAATAGGGGAGAAAGTGAGGGATGCAGCTAGAGAGAAATACTAGGTCTAAGAGAGTGCACTGGAAATAAAAGACAAGTGTTTCACAGACAGCAAACTTTGGTTGGTATTAATACTCCTTATATATCACAGTAAATTATTAAGTACCTATAATGTGTATTCCCTATGCTAAACACTGGAAATACAAAGACAAATGTTTCACAAACAGCAAACTTTGGTAGGTATTAGTACTCACTGTATATCATGGTTAAAAAAAAAAATCCATCATGCTAAAGAAAAGTGTTTTGAAGAGAATTTTTTTCATGAAAATGTCAGGTATTTACAAATGAGCTAAAATTAAATATATGCATATACTTATATATGTCATTATATAATATATACATATTATATATACTGATAATATATCATAACATATTCATAATATATAACTCATGCAAAGGGAATCTTTTATAATAATTTTATCATTTCTAATTTAATGAAAGTGGCTGCATCTCATGAACATAAAATTATTCTTTTTTGGTAGAAAAACAATGCCTTTTTTAGAAAAAATATATAATTTTTATATATGTATACTTATGGATTTCATATATATGTGTGTATGTGTGTATATATATATTTATTTACATATATGGAGTTTTTAGCATATATGAGAATTTAAGTCTCACAAATGAATTAGGTGTGGTGGTGATTTTTAAGGAATTAATTTAACTCCAAAAAGTGATTTTTCTTCTCTCCAGGAAGGATGTTAGGTATAACAATATAAATTCAATATAAATTCTGCAGTTGAGGACCAAAACTGGTTCCAATCAGGCCTAGTAGAAACATTTTTATGATAGAAAATCTATATTTGTTTCTACCTGCACTAAAGTTGCAGTATTTCAGATTTCAAATTTTTATTTTACTTTCACCTATGAAGGAGTAATTGCTTTCTCTTGAGGGACTGAAAAATATAAAAACGGCCTTCATAGAAGTTTTGTACTTTATAAATCCTACTAGCTACAGTAGGAAGAAGAAAGGAGATTGAATGAATGCCGGCTCCACATATTGATCAAGTTAACTACAGGAAATAAGTTATATAATGCAGAACGTGGCTTCCTTGCCTTTTCAAGCATCCCTAACAGATGGTTTTTGAACTAGGCTCTTACCATGAACATTGAGGTTAAAATATTTTTTGGCACTTCCAGCGGTGTTCCCAGCCACACACACATACCTGCCGATGTCTGTTATTTGAGTATTTAGAATCTAAGGAGAAAAAGAAGAAGTCACTACTAGAATTTAAATGAAGCAACTTGTAACATTTGTCATTTAAAAGAATATACAATATATATTCTATCGAGTTAATATCAGATGAACATAAGAAAATGAATTTTTTTGTGCATACGGATGCTGATGATGGCTTTTTGGTCATTCTTTAGAGTTGTCCCACCACTGTGTGATGGAGCCATGACTGGCTTGCTGGACGCTGTGATCAAGTGTAGCAGAATCAGCCCAGTTACTGCATTTGAGGCTCTGAATATGTGTAAGAGCTCAGACAAGATGGTCAGAGCCATGGCGTCAATCCACAACTCTGTGCAGACACTTGAGTAAGCCCAGACGACACCAGAAACATCACATAGGCAACGAGCAGACCATGGGCTAAATAAATGCTCATTTCAAATCATTAAGTTTTGGAGTGGTTTGTTTTATACAGCAATAGTTAATATAGCAGTATATTTTATTTATTGTAGTATGCAGAAATTTCTATGAATCCATCTATGTATCTTTTGGCTTTAGACACAAAAACATTTTGGCAGAGGATGTGTGATAATAAAGTAGAAATATTCATGATACTTAGATAATAATTTGAGAATGGCAGGTAGTGAGCTTTTTTGCATGAAGAACTCTGTTATATCTGACTACTGTGTTGGATATGATGATAGTTATGCTTATATTCTTGGAGGTCAATACATTGTTGTTTATTATGCTCAAACTATAACCTAAAGCATATATTTACAAAATAATTGTTATTTCTATACATGCTTAACTTTCTTTAAGGACACTTGAGTAGCAAAACATAGAAACACCCATTAATAAACAACAATCCAGTATATTCATGTGGTTTCCATTATTACTTGTTAATAAGGACACATTTTAATATATAGTGAATGTTACACCACGTAGAATTTTATCACCAGGAAATATGTAACAGAAAGGCTGACAGTAATGAGTTTTTTTTTATATTGTGGCTCTTAACACAAAGACTATATCATGTACACGTAGAAACAGTTTCTAGAAAAAATCATATCAAATTGTTAATAATGGTGATTTCTGACAGTGGGAATAAAATGGGAAAGAAGAATTTTAGTTGGATATTCTTGAAGTTCTTTACACATACAGCACTTAATAAACTAATAAAATTATTTTTAAAAATCCGAGGCAATTATTACAATGTACAAAATCAAAAGAGTGTTTCGAAACAAGATTTTTACTTTTACCTGTAGAATTCTGCCATTAGATAGAAATTTATGATGATCATCTTCTAGCAAGGGCTGTCCATCTTTTTGCCAAGAATTCCTGGGTGCTGGGCTGCCGCTGGATGAACACTCCAACAGGGCACTCTTGTTCACCAGCACAGTGACCTCTTCAGGGAGGTCACGATTTGCTCCCTTGATAACTGGTGGCACTAACAAATGATCGCAACGAAGATATTGACAGGCAATAAGGGCTTTTCTAAATTATTTGAATTGTCTAACAGCTTTCAACAATAATTACTGCTGAGGATGGGGCAAAAGGAACACTTAAGCCTTGCTGGTGGGACTTCAAATTAGCATAACCCTTTGGGAAGCAGTATAAATATTCCTCAAAAGACCAGGAATGGAACTCAGTCCTCTCACTCCCTGGTATTTATCCAAAAGAACTAAAATCAACATACTATAGTGATGCATGCATACCAATGCTTATTGCAGCACAATCCACAATATCCAAGTTATGGAACCAATCTATACACCCATCAATAGAGGAATGGATAAAGAAAATGTGGTATATATATATACACAATGGAGTTCTACTTAACCACAAGGAAGATAAAATTATGTCATTTGAGGGTAAATGGATGGAATGGGAGAATAGCATGCTAAGTGAAATAAACCAGACTCTGAAGATGGAGGGAAGAATGTTTTCTCTTATATATGAAAGCACCAGAGGAAAAAAGGAATTAAAAAAAAAAAAGGGAAAGGAGGATCTTGTGAAAATACAAGGGAGATCAGCGGAGTAGAAGTGGAGGAGGAGAGGGAAAGAGGAACAACTAGAGAATGAAACTGACCGAATTACACTAGAAGCATGTATGGATATTTCACAGTGCATTCCAATTTTATATATAACTATAATGCAACAATTAAGAAATAGGTAAATAGGAGGAAGATTAATATATTAGAGGAAGGGGATCAGGTGAGTGAGGTGGCAAAGGAGGTGGACAGTACTGGTGATTGAAATGAGAAAACTATGTTATATGCACTTACGAAAACATCAAAATGAGCCGCAGTATAATGTGTAACTACAAAGCACTAAAAAAAAAGCTTGATATGATAACAGAGAAGCAAATCTTGAAGGAGAAACCACAATCCTCAAGGAATGTGGATGGTGACAATAGTATATGGGTTTGGGTTACTCACATCCCAGTCTTAGCTATGCTGGGCTAAATCCTCTAACAATATCATTCCCACTTAGCTCAGTTTGAGATCTTTCCCAAAACATCTTGTCTTGCTTTTCTCTTAGCTTCTCCCACTATGCCTTCTGGGATTTCAGGCATACATATAAGAAGCATCTGTATAAATCAATATTTAAGATTAATTATAGCTTTTAAAGTGTATTTGAAAAGTTCATATTTGGTCTTACTTAATAAGGGATACATCTGGACTGTTCAAAGTCTGTTTTTCAGCTTCAACAAGAGTCGGATCAGCATTAGCATCACCAGCAGCTTAGTTAGAAATACAAATTCTTGGGCCCCAACCAGACTTCCTCAATAGGCATCTCTAAGAATTCATTTTTAGTAAGCTCTCCAAGGTGATCCTTAAGCACCCTAGAGTTGAGAAGTTTTGTTCTAGATTTCCGAACATATTCATTCTCATTTAAAAAAGAACACCATAGAATTACATGCCAGTATGAAAAATCATATTACTCAGAGAATTTTTCAAAAATTGAAATGTTAATTGAAGTAGGAATATATGTGTCAGCTGCTTTTATAAACATAAATATTTATTTTCAAAGTGAATAATCATTCTTTTGTTTTAAAAGTTTAGTCCTTTTTTTGTTTCACTCTGTTAAAATATACCATCTTGGTTAGCCATCAGTGAAGATGGCCATGTTTAATGTACATGCAGCCTTGCGGTATTTGGGTCTCCAACAATTAAACTGATTCTGTAAATAAAATAATCAGTGCCACTAAGCACATAACAGAATCTTAACATTATGTTGCATGAATACGTCCACACTGATGGTTATTATTTTTACTGATGCTGGCTCTACTGTTTCCTCAGTGCCTAGCACAGTGCCTGCCACATGGAGACCAGCAGGCATTTCATGTCAAATCAATTTTGAATTTTAGTATTTTCTCTCTTCTATCCTTTTCAGGCTTTCTTTATAAACTGCTCTTTGCACTGAAAACAAAGTCAAAAAAAAAAAAAAAGAAGAAGAAAAGAAAGGTCAAATCTTGTTGATCTTTTTAAAACCACAGAAGCCAGACATGACAGCTCTGCTCTGAGATTCATGAGTGAATAATTTCTCTCTCTCTCCCTTTCTCTTTGTTTAAGCCATTTTGTTATTTGATATCCCAGGAGGACTGACTAATGTACTCTCAATTTGTATAGAAGACAATTCATTCCTTGGATGAGCTCTCAGTTTCTGATTATCTTATAGTCTCCAGAGTGCTTAGGGTAACATCTTGCAAACATTAGTTCCTGAAAAAATTGTTTTGAGTGAAAGAATTCATAAGAAACAAAAGAAAACAAACTCACAGAGTACACGGACGTCATACTGCAGCGAATCTTCTCCAGCTTCATTCATAGCCACACATGTGTATCTCCCAGCATCTTCGACTTTAGCCCGGGGAATCTGTAACACTCGCCCTCCTAAAAACACCGCAGTATGTTTTACTGTTCTAAATCTCGGGGTGAACACAGCTCATAAATAGAGATATGATTAATTTTTCACACCTAATGACTTCCTTGCATTTTCTTTTAAGGTTCCTACTTCAGCCAATCATCCACTTTAATTTCAGATACCAACCATCTTCTTAACAAATACTACATTATCAAAAAAAGTGATACAATATTGAAATATGAATCAGACCTCCTGAGAAATAAACAGTGACCTTGTACTTTTATAAAATATGAATATTTTAAATGATGCTTATTGCTTCCTACAAGTATTCATTTGAGAAAGTAATATTTGGGGATGTGAAAGTATAAAGTGAACTATTATTACATACGAGTATGTGCAATATTATGCATACAATATTGAAAGAATAGCTAGCTGTGTGTGTATTTAGACTTATCATGTTGAGAATTTACACTAAGATAAAAGTTGCAATAATTATATAAAAACTTTCATCTATGCCCACTAGTTATTTATACTCTGCTTTATTTTTTGTTGTATACATTTTATCTTTTTCTAAAGCATTTGAGAGTAAGCCGGAGGCATCATAATCTGTTATTTCACAATAAGGGTAGTTCCTTACATAACACTAGCACAATAATCAAAAGTATTAAGATTGAAATGAATACAAACTACTCTCGAATTCATATTCTATATTCAAATTTCATTAGTATTGCAATATTTGCAATAAATTTTCAGCCATTTTTTTCCGCAGACCCACTTGCAACTTAGGATCCCATATTACATATAGTTGTCATGACTATTTAGCCTACTTTTATTAAAAAAAATTTTTCAAGATATTCTTTTACTTAACTGAGGTCAAATTCACATATATTTATTTAGTGCACTGACCTTAAGTGTATGATGTGATGAGTTCTGACATGTCCTGATATTTTGAAAAGCCTTCAAAATATTATTCCACAACACTCTTAACATCTTTTCCATCAACAAACCATGTAATGACTAAAATATTTGAAATTATCTTAACCATTTATTTATGATAAGTGCATTTAATAAATTGAATAGTAACTATTTGCAAATACGCTTCAGAATTTGGATTAGTAATATACAGAAACCAAACATTATCTCAATGTACTAATAGAGAAAAGGAGGCACGAAGAAGCCCAAGGACTTTCGTAAGTTGGTAGAATGATCCTGTAGTAGATTCAAAAATTTACAGAAGTGTTCTATGCTATTGTCAAATTCTCAAGCTAGACAGTCCTAGATTGAAGTATATGCACACCAGTGGCACTCAAGGGACTGTCAGTTAAATTACATGAACAGAGAGTCTAATTCATTTGTTTAGTAAAAGAGAAGAGACATACTTGGCATGGACTTATACCTTTACTTTGTTCATAGAGATCTTTACCTACCTGGTAAAATCAATACTCTGTCACCTGAGGTCAGAGGACGGCCATCTTTGTACCAGGTCAGTGTAGGAGGAGGAGCAGCATTTGTCTCACAGTAGAGGGAAATGGGATTATTGATGATCACATCTTTGGCTTCACCATTCCTGCCGGTATCTAGCAT